CTCGTCCACAGTATTATCATCATCATCATCATCTTAATCAGCATCATCACCATCGTCATCATCATCGTCACCAGCGTCGCCGTCGTCGTCATCACATCCACCCTAACAGCAGCGTTATCCTCACCAGCGCCGTCATGATGAGCTTAGTCAGCATCAGCAGCAGCAGCATAAGCATCAGTATCAGCATCAGCATCATCATCGTCATCATCATCATCATCGTCGTCATCATCAGCAGCAGCATCATCATCTTTGGTATCAGCAGTATCACCATCATCCTCGGCATCAGCATCAACACCAGCAGCAACAGCAGCAACAGGAGCGTCATCCGCGTCGTCATCATCATCACCACCACCACCACCATCGTCATAAGCAAAGGCATAGCATCATCATCATCATCATCATCATCATCATCATCATCATGATCATCGGCAGCACTAGCACCATCAACATCATTAGCAGCAGCAGCATCAACAGTGTCGTCAGCATCGTCGCCGTTATCATCATCAACAGCAGCATCATCAGAAGCAGCATCATCATCCTGATTATCATCATCATCATCATCATCATCATCATCAGCATCATCATCATCATCATCAGCAGCAGCAGCATCAGCTTCATCGTCATCATCATCACCAGCATCATCATCATCATCATCGTCGTCCTCGTCTGCAGCAGCTCTATCATCAGCATCAGCAGCAGCACCATGATCAACCGAATCATCATTAGCATCATCATCATCATCATCATCATCATCCTGCATTGCTTCCGTTCCTCCTTTCTTCCTTCCTTCCGTCCTTCCTGGCGTCCTCCCTCCTTCTCCTTATCTTTACTCATCCTCCTCCCCATCGTTCCCATCAGCCTCAAAGCCTCATCATCATGCTCATCACTAACACACTTACCACCACCACCACCAACACCATCTGATTCATAATCATCCCTTCATCATCATCATCATCATCATCATCATCATCATCATCATCATCATCACCATCACCATCACCATCACCATCACCATCACCATCACCATCACCATCACCATCATCACCGCCGCCATTCAATCACCATCATTGAGTCCCTCCTTCCTGTCCTCCCGCCCTCCCTCCATCCCTTCTCCTCCTCCTAATTATCCTCCTCATTGTTCTCTTCCTCTTCCTCCTCCTCCTCCTCTTCCGCTCCTCCATCTCTCCTCCTCCTCTTCTTCCTCCTCCTCCTCCTCATTATCTTCCTCATCTTTCTCCTCCGCTTCCCTCTGAAATCGCCCACTGGACCTCTCGTGGGGTGGGTTTTCCACCTGAAGGTCGAAGGGGATCCAGCCGTGGCGACCAGTGGCCTCCCAGAGGCCCACGACAAGACAAGGAACGTTCAAAGACCTCCAACCTCGGTCCTCGAATCCTCCTCCTCCTCCTCCTCCTCCTCCTCCTCCTCCTCCTCCTCTTCCTCCTCCTCCTCCTCCTCCTCCTCCTCCTCCTCCTCCTCCTCCTCCTCCTCCTCCCCCTCCCCCTCCCCCTCCTCGCATCTTCGGAGGTTGCCAGAGGTGACCCTGGTGCCCCGAAGCATTTCGCGTCCTCTGGCAGCCCCCCGGGCTCGCAAGGCCTCGCAAGTGTCGCTCTCAAGGCCACCTGGACATCCCTGGGAAAGCTGGGGCCGCTCCAGTACATGGCCACCCCCGGGCAACGCCCGACGCCTGGTGCCACCCGACTGACTACCTACCAGACCACCCCAACCCAACCCGAAGACCCGAATTTCGGGTTGGGGAAGGTACGGGCTTCATATGTGTTTTTTCCATTTTCCCCGACCCCCCCACCACTGGAAGTGGAGGGCAAATCGGGGCCTTCGGGTTGCGTTGGGGTGGCCTGGTGGGCGGTGACCGACAGCGCCCGCCTGGAGCGCCCATCCGGGATCTCCCCAGGGCCCCCAGGCCTCGCGAGGGTTGCTCTGGAGGCCACCCGGGCCTGGGGCCGCTGCGCGCCGTGGCCACCCTTGGCAACCCCGACGCCTGGCGACAACCGACAGCGCCCGCCTGGAGCGCCCATCTGGCGGCAGCCCGCCAGACGCTGAGCAGGGACCCACCGTCCCGGCGTTCCTGCAGGCCTACCACGGCATGTTCTGAGAACATCAAACGGTTCCAATAACAGACACAATGTTCTTACAGCACGAGGCCGACGTATCGAGTCAGGACGGCCTCCTCCAGAAATGCTCTAAGACCATCTCGCGCGAACCACGGGAGATCCTTAGAACCTTCTCTGGTGTGCCTACAAGCACGCCTGGACGCGTCGCCACTGCTTGACGACGCCGCGCGCGCCGCCGCTGCAGCCGACGGCCGCGGCCCCGACGCCGCAGCGGCGCGGCGGCCGCCCGCCGAGGAAGGCCTCCGGGAGGGGGTCGTCGCCGCCGTCGCCCTCGCCGTCACCGCGCCGTTGTCGCCGCCTCCGTCAGCGACGCCGCCGTCTCAGTCGTCGTCGCTGTCGTCCTTGTCGCCGTCGCGGTGGCCGCCGCCGCCGGCCACCTCCACCGGCGTCGCCGCCCCGGTCCCTGGGCCACCCCACGAGGCACCCGGCTCGGCCAGACCCCTCGGGTGGGCCCGCCCCGCCTGGCGCCCGACAGGGCCTGGCCAAGCGGAAAAAGTCAAAACATTAAAAAATCAAAACAGAATAAACAACAACAACAACAACAACAACAACAACAACAACAACAACAACAACAACAACAACAACAACAACAACAACAACAACAACAACAACAACGACGACGACGACGACGACGACGACGACGACGACGACGACGACGACGACAACAACAACAATTACTAGGACGTGGGGACACTCCGTTCTCACCAGTGCCAGGGTTTTCATAGGAGGCGGGCAATACCCCCACTTTGTGGGGGGGCCGGTTCAAGCTCTACCAAATTTCCAAACGACTCTTCGCCACCACCCACACCCAGCTTCCCGCCCTATGACGTTCGGACACTTCACTTCGTGGCATGCGGACGACCGTGGCTACTATTCAGGGCCCCGCGGCCGACGACGACGGCGTGCGCGCGCGAAGAAAAAACGAATGTGTCCCGCATGGTAGTATTTGACAGGGATGATGGCCCTGGCAGGTGCGCAACCGTTGTTGCAGAAGTTCGAAAAAGTTGCTCGCAAAAGCCCGTTTGACAGAAATGTTTAAAAAGTGTTGGGTTTCCTACGAATCCGCAAGAGCGCGCGGGATGAGATTTTGACATTTTTTTGTTAAAAAACCATTGGTTTTTTGATGTTTTTATGTTAAAATCGCTGCGAACACTAAGGTTTTGGAAGGATTTCGTCTTGCGCGCGCGAATGTCCACTTTACCTTATTTTTTGCAAGGGATTTCTTGAAATTTGATTATATTAGAACAAGAAATGTCATTTTCTATTGTTTTTTGCAAGGGAAAGCGGATTACAACAAAACAACCGGATCCTGTACACACCCTCTTTTCTGAGGCTTCCTCACGAAAATGATGAAAATGTAGCTGCGGCCTAGGCGGCGCAGGGGGGGCGCGCACCAGGGGGCCCAACAATAATTATTCTTTAAAATAAATAATGTTCAACAACAACGAACACAAAAACAACAACAACAACAACAACAACAACAACAACAACAACAACAACAACAACAACAACAACAACAACAACAACAACAACAACAACAACAACAACAACAACAACAACAACAACAACAACAACAACAACAACAACAACAACAACAACAGCAACAACAACAACAACAACAGCAACAGCAACAACAACAAATAATAATTTTAAGACTGATCGCCCTTATATGCTCGAGTGTCCATTCACGAGTATTTCCCAAACCCTCGATACCCGCCCTCTTCGTCTTCGATCGAACCCCTTTTGAGGGGTATACCTTTCTTCCCTGCAGGCTGGGCCCCAGCAAGCGGCGGGGCGGCCGCAGACCGTCGGCATGGCCAGCGGCAGCGCTGATCGGCGGGGCGGCCGCGGACCGTCGACACGACCCCAAGAGGGACGGACAGGGGACCGACCACGACGACAACGACGACGACGGCAACGACGAGCGAAAGCGAGAGCGAGAGAGAACGACGGCAGGGCCACGAAGGGCACGAAGTAGGCCACGAAGGGCGACAGCGGGGACACAAAGGCGTATGGGGCCACGAAGAGCGCGAACGAGCGGGGGCCACGAAGTGCAGATAATGCGGGGCCACAGAAGGCAACTATGGGGCCACTGAGGGTAGCAACTGGGCCACGTAGGACAGTGAGGGGGGCACAAATGGCGACAGCGGGGCCACGAAGGGCATGCACATGGGGCCACAACGGGCGCGACTCCTGGGTGCCTGGGTGTTGGGAGCGCGGCGATTAGGCAAATTGCAAGAAATTCCAAGGCAAGGCCATTCTTCAGTAAGTTGCAAGCAAGTCTCCAGCGAGAGCGCGACTCCAGAGCACCGGGAGAGCGTTTGTTGAATAAATTGTAAGGAAGTCCCCAGCGAGAGCGCGATTCCTGAATAAAATGCGAGGGAGTCTCGGGCGGGAGCGGGGGTCCTGGCTAAATTGTAAGGAAGTCTCAGGCGGGAGCTGTTGTTGTTGTTGTAATCCGGGGGCCAGGGGCCCAGTTTGAGCAGGAAGACTTGCCATGTCAAAAAGCAGGGTGCGAGCGTCGAGGGGTACACTTTGATTGAGAACAAAACAGTATGCACCCGTGGGGGGGGGGGCCGACCAGAATTATTCTTCTGAAATGGAAATTCAACAACAACAACAACAACAACAACAACAACAATCACTTTACCCGAACGCTCAGTGTTCTCACCAGTGCCAGGGTTTTCATGCGACGCCAGCCAATACCCCCACTTTGTGGGGGGGCAGTGCAAGCTCTACCAAATATCCACACGACTCTTCGCCACCACCCACACCCAGCTTCCCGCCCTATGACGTTCGGACACTTCACTTCGTGGCCTGCGGACGACCGTGGCTACTACACTGGCGTGGAGTACACACCCACAGAAGTTGTTAAGCCTACGTTCGTACACCCACAGAAGTTGTTAAGCCTTGTTAACCCACAGAAGTTGTTAAGCCTTCCACAGAACATCTGTTGCATATGATGCATATGGTACATGATACACATGATACACATGATACTCACAAGATAGTTGATCACATCTTTAGGGCAAATTCCTGAGGGATGTGGGAATACACAAGAGAGAGAGGATATGGTTGTCCCGATGGTTGTCTCGATGGTTGTCCCGATGGTTGTCCTGATGGTTGTGGTTGTCCCGATCGTTGTCCGATGAGAAGCCCAATGGTTTTTGGAGATTTCGGCGTGCGCGCGCGAAGAAAAAACGAATGTGTCCCGCATGGTATTATTTGACAGGGATGATGGCCCTGGCAGGTGCGCAACCGTTGTCGCAGAAGTTCGAAAAAGTTGCTCGCAAAAGCCCGTTTGACAGAAATGTTTAAAAAGTGTTGGGTTTCCTACGAATCCGCAAGAGCGCGCGGGATGAGATTTTGACAATTTTTTGTTGAAAAACCATTGGTTTTTTGATGTTTTTATGTTAAAATCGCTGCGAACACTAAGGTTTTGGAAGGATTTCGTCTTGCGCGCGCGAATGTCCACTTTACCTTATTTTTTGCAAGGGATTCTTGAAATTTGATTATATTAGAACAAGAAATGTCATTTTCTATTGTTTTTTGCAAGGGAAAGCGGATTACAACAAAACAACCGGATCCTGTACACACCCTCTTTTCTGAGGCTTCCTCACGAAAATGATGAAAATGTAGCTGCGGCCTAGGCGGCGCAGGGGGGGCGCGCACCAGGGGGCCCAACAATAATTATTCTTTAGAATAAATAATGTTCAACAACAACAACAACAACAACAACAACAACAACCACGACGACGACGACGACGACGACGACGACGACGACGACCACAACAACAACAACAACAACAACAACAACAACAACAACAACAACAACAACAACAACAACCACAACAACAACAACAACAACAACAACCACAACAAGAACAACCACAACAACAACAACAGCAACAACAGCAGCAGCAACAAAAACAACCAACAACAACAACAACAACCAAAAAAACGATAATCAAAACAACAACAACAACCACAACAACAACAACAACAACAACAACGGCAGCAGCAGCAACAACAACATTAACAACAACAGCAACAACAACAAGAACAAGAACAACAACAACAACAACAACAACAACAACAACAACCACAACACCAACAACGACGATGACGACAACAACAACAAAAGCAACAACAGCAACAGCAGCAGCAACAACAATCATTGTAAGACTGTTCACTCTTATCTGCTCGCGTGTCCTTCAATATGCATATCCCAAACCCTGGATACTGGCCCCCTTCGTCTTCGATCGTACCCCTTTTGGGGGGGTATATTCATTCCCTGCCACATGTGGTTGTTGACGCCCTTGAAAACGAAACGAAGGGCATTCTTCTATGGGGCCACAAAGGGCGACAGCGGGGCCACTGAAGGCAGCAAAGGGGCCACGAAGGGCAGCGAGAGGGCCACGAAGGGCGACAGCGGGGCTACGAAAAGCATGCGTATGGGGCCACGAAGGGCGACTGCGAGCGGGGGCCACGAAGGGCATATAATGCGGGGCCACAATGGGCAGCGACGGGGCCACTGAGGGCAGCAACACGGCCACAAAGGGCAGCGAACGAAGGCGACCGCGGAGTCAGTACGGGCAGCGAGGGGCATCGAAGGCAGCGAAGGGCAGCGAACGGCGACTGCAGTCCCTAACGGGCTGGCCGGGCGGGCAGGCCCAGCTGGGCGGGTCGAGCGGGCCGGTCGTTGAAGCGTAAAAGTCTGCTTGAACCGCCAGGCAATATGCAGCGGGAGCGCCATTCCTGAGTGTCGAGGAGCGGCATCTGAATAAATCGTAAGGAAGTATCTGGCGGGAGCCGCGATTCGGTGGTAAATTGCGAGGAAGTCCTAAGCGAAAGCGCGATTCTTCAATAAATTGTGAAGTATCAGGCGGGAGCCGCGATCCGGTGGTAAATTGCAAGAAAGTCCCAAGCGAGAGCGCGATTCTTCAATAAATTGCGAGGAAGTATCAGGCGGGAGCCGCTGTTGTTGCAAACTGGGGGCCAACAATACAATGTGACCTTTTCACTGATACAAAAAAACAGGGTGCGAGCCCCGGGAAGGGCACTTCAATCGAAAAAACAATGTGCACCAGACGGGGGGGACCAACAACAATTATTCTTCAGAAATGGGAGTTCAACAACAACAGCAACAGCCACAACCACAACCACAACAACAACAACAACAACAACAACAACAATCATTTTACCCGAACGCTCAGTGTTCTCACCAGTGCCAGGGTTTT